CAACATGGAAGTTGTATATTAACTACACACATGGTATAATTTAATTGTTTGAAATAATAAAGGAACCATCTCGAGACGGTGGTATTTTCCAGAAGATTTACAATTTTCTTTGCTCGAGATACACGTTAAATTACTAAATTATCCCTTATTATATATATTAGCATAGGTGTTTAATCGTAATTTTACATTATGACTTAAAAATTTTCGAGCCAAACTCGAGCAAATTGATTTCGAGTCGAGCTAGAGCTATTGTAATTTTTTATCGAGTCGAACTCGAGCCTAAAAAATCGAGCTCGACGAGCTCGAGCTCAAGCAGCTAAAAAAAAAAAAAGCTCAATCATGCTCGATAAGACCAATACTCGGCTCGGCTCGGCTCGTTTGCAGCCCTACTCCTAGTACATACTTCCAAACAATTAAATTATTTGAGGCTCCCCATTTCTTCCTTCTCGTCCATCAATATCCCTCCATTTTCTATGTCGAACCAAACATACCCTATAGAGTAGAGATACACGTACAATGTTTGCAATCCTGGAGCACTGAGGTTCCTTGAATCTCTCCTCCCCCACCATTCCAAAATCTGTGTTCTTTTAACCATCCCATATCTACAGAGAAAATCAATCTCTAGTTGAGAGAGAGAGAGAGAGAGAGAGAGAGAGAGAGAGAGAGAGAGAGCAGGGAACCTTGGTCTTTTGAGTTCCGTACAACAATGGCGTTCATGTCTTTTCTCGGTAGACTGCTCTTTGTCTCTGTATTCGCTCTCTCTGCTTATCAAGAGTAAGACGCCTGCTGCTCTTTTCTTCTGTTTCCTTTTACTTTCTTTTCTTTCTGCCCCTCAAACCTGTTCTTTTCGTTTTGTCAAATACATCTCATGCTTGCACGTTCTTCATCAGCTTGTGCGTTTTGTGTTGGGAGTTGTGGCGGAAAGGCAAAAGTGTGTGTTTTATTAGTTTCACCTTTTTCCGATGAGATTTCTAAGTGATTCTGTTCAGTTTGGAACTTGGATCTATGGGGTTCACAGTTAACTTTAAGTTAGAATAAAAAAAGGAATATTTCATATAACTCAGAGTTTATTGGCTATTATGTACTCCAATGTGCAGTTTTGTATATGGTTGTGTTTTCATTTACCTTTTTTTTTTCTTGTTTTACTAGTTTGTGTTTTGCCAATGGTATTATGTATTATCAATTAATGCCATAATGTTGAACAACAATGTGCAAATTTCATCTGTAGAGAAGTCTTCTCCCAATCTGCTCCATATTGTCTTGATTTGCAGAACTAGTTATCCTCTCCTATGACCATAGGTAGGATTATAATGGGTTGCAAAATTCTTTGGGTGAGGCGGTCTAACCATTAGGCGGGTTGACTCATCACGCATCTATAAAAAAATGTATTCTAATACTATGAAATGTCATACTTTACTTTACGTTTTTTTTTTTTTTTTTTTTTTTTTTTTTTTTTTTTTTTTTTTTTTGAGTATGAAGTATGCATATGCATATCTGCTGGAAGAGTATGTCCAACTAACTATTAGGTCTGCCTAACAATAACAAACATACGGGATTGATTGTGGATCTTGGCTTGCGGCAGGTTATTTTGTGCTAACTTGACGTGGACTGTGTTGTATTGAGTTTGAGATGCAAGGTATAATGCTCGGTTTTAACAAAACATAACCCACATTTAACGAGTGGATTAATTTAGTTTATATCATTGTCCGAAACCTTTCGTATGTTGTTATTAGGTTTTGATCTTTTCCATGTTGCTTGTGAAGTTTGCTGCCACATTCATCTTTCTTTCTCTTTCTGTAGAGAACGATCAGACATACGATTACTATATTTGTTGGTTGCTTTGCTGTGGCCGTTTCTACTTCATGTTTCCAAAAGATTGACTTTTTTTAGATGGGATATATGTACTAAAGGAGACAACTGAGTGTTCGAACTCCTTTTCGTTTAACATGTTTATATGTTATCTTAATATGCAAGGCTCGTCAACTTCTCGTAAGTTGGTTAATGACCGTTCAACTCAACTTTTGCCTAATATGAGCTTTATCAAGCCATTGGCACGGGTAGGTGCATTTTATCTGTCTTGTTTCTTTTATTTTTGATGAAAATTGTAGAGTAACTCGACCTTGAGCTCTCTATTTTGCCTATCATTATCATGCTAGAGAGATTGCTTATATGCGGAACATTTTTTATTCATCATATTTTTTGTGTGTTTGTAGGTTCAATAAATTTGGAGCCGATGGCGGGCCAACAGCAAAGAACTTGAGGTCGAATTTCAATGTTTTTGATGTAAGTAGATTTGCATGTACGTCTACTATTAATACAAAAATTATTTGAATAACATTTCGCTAAAATGCATAAAATATGACACCACAGACGAAACATTTGATTTTGGGCGCCATTGCCATGAAAGGTGTCGGTAGCCTCCTGTTTGTCTTTGGCAGCTCTCTTGGAGCTTCAATATTGGTACGCGTATTATGCTCAATCCTTTTATGGACTAATTTTGTGATACCTGTTTTTGTTAATCGTGAGTTTACTTCTTCTCGATTCAATACACAGCTTCTGTATCAAGCAATCTCGGCATCCATTTTGTACGACTTTTACAACTATGATGCAGACAAGAAGGAGTTCGCTCAGCTTTTTGTCGAGTTCATGCAGGTGCTTATTCAATCCGACAACTATGTTCTTCCTTTTTGTATTTTTTTTTCTTTTTTTTTTATTGATAGTATTTTTATAGCAAGTTTGATAATGTGTTGGTGATATAGGCGTGTTTTCAATTCTCCATATTTTTCTGAATTGATCATACTCATTTTAATCTTTTGACTAGAGTCTGGCATTGATTGGGGCCCTGCTGTTCTTCATTGGCATGAAGAATTCAAAGGCCAAGAGGTTGCTAAAGAAGAAGGCTACTAAAGCCAAAACAAATGAATTACGAGGGTAATTGTTGACGAGTTACTAGATGATTTCTTACAGTTTTACCCCATCATTCAGAGTTCACTATTTTGGCAGAATTTTTATACCTGCAAGTCTATCACGCCTGCATTTTCCGACCATGTTAACGTGGGCATTGTTTGTTAAAACTTCAGCTACAACTCGAAAATTTAATTTAAGAAAATTCGAGTTTTTGCTTTGTTTGTTTTTTCTACTTTTTATTTGGCCCCTTTTGTTTAAGTATGCAGCCGTGGATTTTGGTTCGACTGTGATGCTCTTGTTTGATTGCTCAACGGCTTTCTTATTTTTGTATTTGGCTCTGAACAATGATGAATCTTGATGTATTTCAGCATCATTGGGCCATGAACAATGAATCTTGATGTATTTCAGCATCATTGGGCCAAGATGCATTTCAGAATTGAGTTCCCACATCCATTATTGTCTATTTTAGATCGGCAAAATTGCATAATAATACACCTGGGTTTCATATTTTTTGGCAATTTAATCACTACCTCTGAAATTTTGAAAATTAATACACCACCTCTACCATTTTTGCAAATTGATACATGAATGACGATTCCATACATTAACAAAAATCTAACGAAAATCTGACACGGCATTAAGCCACGTCAATGCCATGTCAGATTTTTGTTAACGGAACCGTCATTCGTGTATCGATTTGCAGAAATAGTAAAAGCGGTTTATTAATTTGCAGAATTTCACATGTGGTAATTAAATTGCAAAAACATGAAAAGCGGGGGTATTAATACGCAATTTTGCCTTTTAGATCTGATCTCTTCACTAAAACAGGGAAAAGAAAGCTAGTACACATACTGCTTTTTGTTTGGATAAAACTGATATAGTCAAAAGAAGCCCCAAAAAATTATAATAAAATAAAAAATAATGCAGACAACAACTACAATTGTATGATGTATATAAAAATCGATCATAGGTCCCAGTGGTCCACAGATTGAAAAGTTCAACAAGTTGTCTTTAATCTTTATTGTCTTCTACATCAAAATTTTGTAATTACTTCTTGTTATCCTTTCTTAAATGTCAACGTAAATGCAAGTTAGTGAATATTATGTCACCAGCACTACATAAACTTTATCCTCTGGAAAAATTTCAAAACCTCACACTAAACTTGAATGGAAATCTCAAACTCTTCTGACCGAGCAGACGAGTTAAAAGCCTTCGACGACACAAAAGCCGGCGTAAAAGGCCTAGTCGACGCCGGAGTTGAAGAAATCCCCAGAATCTTCATTCTCCCGCAGGCCAACACAAACACAAACGAGAAAATTGACACCAAAAACAGGCCGGATTTCGTTGTTCCAGTGATCGACCTCGGAGCAGCCGAGGAAAACCGGACATGCATCGTGAACAAAATCAGGCAATCATCCGAGAAGTTTGGGTTTTTCCAGGTGATAAATCACGGGATACCCGTTAGTGTGTTGGAGGAGATGATTGGTGGCGTGCGCAGGTTTAACGAGCAAGCTTTGGAGGTGAAGAAGGAATACTACACGCGTGATGTCACGAGAAAATTCGTGTTCAATAGTAATTTTGATCTGTATTCAGCTCCAGCTGCTAACTGGAGGGACACCTTTTTCAGCTTCATGGCTCCTAATCCACCCCACCCTCATGAGCTGCCTGATTGTTGCAGGTATGTGATTAACAATTATTCTGATCGATCGCTTTAATTTTTAAACATTTTCAAGCTTGTATGTGCAAATTGATTGAGTTATATGTAACTATGTGTCTTCTTTCCAGAAGCCATTAATCACATGTGTACCATTTTATTTGCAGGGATATTCAAATCGAGTATTCTAGACATGTAATGAGCTTAGGCCGCCGATTATTTGGCCTACTCTCGGAGGCTCTTGGCCTCGAACATAGTCGGCTGGAGGAGATGGAATGTGCCAAAGGTCTCACTTTCATCGGACATTACTATCCCGCGTGCCCACAACCAGAGTTGACTTTAGGCGCAAGCAAGCACACGGATGATGGCTTTCTTACGGTGCTGTTACAAGACCACATTGGAGGCCTTCAGATTTTTGTGGAGAACAAGTGGATTGATGTTCCTCCTGTTCCTGGTTCTCTAGTCATTAACATTGGAGATATGTTACAGGCAAGTAAAGAGACAATTACCAAAACTTGATCTTTAACCTTATTAATCACAAAAGAAAATTAAACGAGGGTGTTTGTCTTTCGCAAAATTAATCGTGTGAATCCGATTTTTCATTTTTTTGCATAAGGTGATCGCAAAATTATCTGTACTAGTAGTTTTGAGGCTAAATTGGGACATTTCATGATTGTTGAAGTACTGATTTTGTGATATTTTGTTCAGCTGATAACGAACGACAAGTTCAAAAGCGTGGAGCACAGAGTGTTGGCGAATCGGGAGGGTCCACGAGTGTCGGTTGCATGCTTTTTCAGCACCTCCCTCATGCCGTCCTCAAGGTTATACGGGCCAATCCAAGAATTGATATCAGAAGATAATCCAGCAAAATACCGAGAAACAACTGTGCAAGAGTATGTTTCCTATTCGTACGCCAAAGGTCTTGATGGGACTTCTCCTTTGCTGCATTTCAAGATCTAATTTGGAAACTGCACACTGCACTGCATGCTGTTTATATACACACCCCATTTTCTTTGACAAGGTGGAATAAAAATTGGTAAGACATTTATTATGATGAATTCGATACGGCCACATTTGGACTAAGAAGGTTGCCGTGTCAATTAGTTTGAACCTGACAAGCCACTGTGTGTGAGTACTTTTCTCTATAGTTACCGTTAATACAAAGGTCAAAATATAATCGTCGTAGTACTTTTTGTGCTTCGTTTTGGTACATATGCATAAAGGGCTCAAAAGGTGAGCTTAGCTAGATGCAGTTGGAACATCAAATCCCCAAATTTTCTTCTTCAAACTCCATATCTAAAGCTTAAAATTCTGCAAAGCAGAAGTTCCATCCAATCCTCTGCTGCGAACATAATTAGTGTACTCCCTGATCTTGATCGCTCGGTACTTTGGAGGATTGTCTTCGGATAAAAGCTCTTCAATCGGACCATAGACTCGAGAGTTCATATCACAAGTATCTCTGCCAAAGAATGCAGCCACCGATATTCTTGGACCCAAACGGCTAGCTAACACCTGGTGCTCCACGCTTTTCAGTTTGTCATTGGATATAAGCTAGAAACATTTAAGAAAAAAGAAAAGAAAAAGAATCATACATCTTTGGGCAGAAAGATACCTACAAGTTTCCAATTTCAAGAAGCCTTGTTCTGATTCAAATTTGTATTATGAATTTTTTGTTGTTTCTTCCTTCCTTGATTTTGTTTGTTCCTATAATTTCAAAATTATCCGTAACGGCAAAATAGATAATAAATGAAGTAGAAATAAAAATGATGAGTTGCCTGCAAAAGATCTCCAATGTTGACTACAAGAGCCCCTGGAGATGGTGGAACATCCACCCACTGATCCTTATGCAGCACCTGAAGCCCTCCCAAGTTGTCCTGCAAAAGAATTGTTAAGAAGCTGTAGTCCGAGTGTTTGGTCGTGCCTATCGTTAATTCAGGCTCCGGGCATGAAGGGTAATAATGTCCAAAAAGCGCAAGTGTTTGAGCGCAATCCATGTCCACGAGGTGGTCCGGATTTAGTTCAAGTGCCTCAGACAGTAACTTGAACAGAGATTTCCCCAGCTCCATTACATGCGTTGCATATTCCATCAAAATATCCCTGCACGTGATGGTATTAGTTGTTACAAAATGTGCGGGAAACCTACTGAACTGGAAAGCATCTGTTCACTTCTTACAAACTAAACAAGTAAATGAAAATTACAATAGACTTAAAGTCGAGGCGAGAGTTGCTCTTTCTGCAAGACGAATACAAATGTGCTAACGAATTTAAGCATCTAGTTCTCTAATATACAACGACCATGTCAACTAAACCTGAAGATAGTTTAAAAGGTGACTATCATATAATATATCAAGAAAGATAAATGGTTCAATTATTTACCTGCAAGCAGAAGGGAGTTCGTGTGGATCTGGTGGATTAGGAGCCATAATGCAATTAAAGGAGTCCCTCCAGTTAGCTGCGGGGGAACTATACAAATCAAAGTTGCTATTGTAAATCATCTTCTTCTCGAAATCCCGCGTGTAATACTGCCTCTTTATCTCGTTATCTTGCTCGTGAAACCTACGTACCGCACTCAACATCTCCTCCAAGATACTTGCACGTATACCGTGATTCACCACTCGGAAAAACCCCCAATCTCGACATGCATTCATGATCCGGTCGAGGGTGTTCCTACGCTCGACCGGGCCTTTTTCAACATTAGCGAGGTCGATTATAGGGACGATCAAACGCGAGTCACTAATTGTGGCGCTATGTCGTAAATTTTGTGGTGGATGAATGAAAATACGTGGGACATGAGTGATGCCCGAGTCCACAAGGCCTTTGACGCCGGTTTTCGTGTCGTCAAAGGCTTTTAGTTCGGTTTTTCGGTCGTAGTCGGCTTCTGTTTGAGTTATTTGGTTTTCTCGCTCGGTGTTGTTGGGGATCACCATTTTCTTAATTTGCAGTTTAGAGTAACTGAGGGAGACACTGTAAGGAGATGTGATTTGGTGATTGATATGTGGATATATGGGTATTTGGTGGTAAAGTGGAGTCCACGTTTGAAAATTGCAACCACATATGCTTGAGATTGAAGTGGTGTTTGGTAGATGAAGTACCAAACTCTAACGTGTGGGTGGTGGCAAATTCGTATCTATCCATGGGTGACTGTTCCATTGCCTTTATAATCATTGATTTTTTTACACTTAAATACATTATACAAAAGGAGATTCGAATAGGGAGATTCTCGAGCGGACAAAGAAAAATTACACGTACGATATTAAAAGCAGAAGTCGAGTACTTACTGAATGCCGACATCTTGAACGCTGGTGAGTATTGAAGGTGAAAATGCGCCAATGAATGAGCTCGAGCGGCGGAACACGGCGGCGACAACAACTTCTAATTGCAAATGGAAGTGCAAAAAGTATAAGAGAGCAAAGTTCGTGAAGGTGAAAAATGGAGAAAAGCTGCGAAGAGGGGTATTATAGAGAAAAACTATGAATAGAATTCGGAAGTTCGAGCGTTCTGAGCCGTTGGATGGAGGTCGACTTGGACAACCCAGATTAAGAGAGGAAGTTGAACGAACGGCTTGAGCAAAGCCGTTAGATCAGCCCAGGATGGACGGGTAAGATCACACAAGTGCGTCGGAGCGACAGGTTGATTGTGACCGTTTGATTTAGGTCAAAATCAACAATCAAGATTAGGGGTAGGTAAGTCGAAGAGGCAGAGGATGAAGACCGTTGGATCAAGGGTCGCATTTAGTGCCGCAACTGAGGCACACTACATGAGGAGACACGATTGACGAGGCAATCTAGTGCATTGAACGTTGGTCTGATAGCTTCCACAGGTGGTAGGAATTTGAATTTTATGTTTTGAATTTTGAATTCAAAACAGTGAGGTGGACGCCAAAGAAACTGGGTATAAATGGAAAAAGCTCGGGTGATAAGGTCGATCGACAAAAATGAGGAGTTCAAATTTTGCGCCCATGAGAAGTATAGTCTTGTCCATGAAGACAAGAGGTCGAATTTAATCCAGGAAGGTCAAGCAAGGAGGCCGAGCATTATCCAACAAAGGCAAATGTCCCATAATGGAAAAAAAATATGCATAATGAATCTACTCTTTGACCGAGTATCCTAGCCCGACCAAAGTGGGGAGGGGGGACCAGATGATATGGGATATTATATCGGGTCAACTTGACCCGCGAAATTGACCCACTAGATTGGGTAAATCCATAGGACGAATAGAGTTGGAGGTTGAATGAAAAATATTTAGGTCGAGAAAAATTCCTCGGATGGCCCGAGGAAACTTCAATCTGTCGAAGGGCTGGTTAAATCATCGACCTCTATACTTGGGTGGGAACCAAGGGGCGAAAATGTTCAACCTGGTGATGTGGAGCTGGTTTCATAGTAAGACCGTTTGATAAAGAAGACGGGCAAGCAAAAAGACATCTAACTTGGGAGCAACGTCGTTTAGGAATTGGACCACGTGTCACCACAAAATATGGTCGTTTGACCAACTGACAAGTCTGGCGCCTGGGGCAGTGCAGGTCGTACGGATGGACAGCTAGGGCAACTAGGTCAACTATTGGAGCAAGCTTAGGGAACAAGATACAACACCCCCTATATAAAGGGGTGCAGTAGGTTAAGTCTTTCTGCTTGACACTTTTTACTACTGAAACTACTATCCATCATCTCTTACATAATATTAACTTAAGCATCGGAGACTCTTCACAGATAAACTCCCCAGGATTGAGTTTTTGTAGGTCTTGAAGGTCATCCATCGACGAGAAAATGCGTATCAGGTCAAACCAAGCCGATCAAAGGTCTTTAATGTACCTGAATTAAAAATTCTCATTCAAATTAAAATGGTTTTAAGATTTTATTTTAAATCTTCTACTTATTGAAAGTAAAATCGTAAAATTAGTACAAGATCACTGATTATACAATACCAAACATATTGACGACTAGAAGAGTGAGAAGTCAATGCAAAAATAGTTCCTATGCTACAAGCCTAAAAGCACTTACAGTGTGCGCAAAATCTCTATCATGAATGATCAAATAAATAACTTAAACGTAAAAGTTATTAACCAAACTCTTTGAAACCATCCATCAAATGACTTTCAGTTAGAACCTTATAAAATGAAATTTATCCATGACTTACAACATTAAACACACCATCTAACGATTCTCACAAAATTACAATTTTTCTTCACATGCAATGCGTTCTGAGCAGTTGGATGGAGGTCAACATGGATAACCCAGATTAAAAGAGGAAGTTGAACGTAAGACTTAAGCGAAGCCGTCAGATCAGCCCAGGATGGACGGGTAAGTTCCACACAAGTGCGTTGAAGTGACAGGTTGATGGTGACTGTTGGATTTAGGTCAAAAAGGTAATCAGCAGGCCGGTTCCCCTCAGAGAGAGTAAATCAAAGAGCCAGAGGATGAGGATCGTTAGATCAAGGGTCGCATTTAGTGCAGTAGTTGAGGCACACTAGACGAGAAGACGCGAATGACGAGTCAATCATGTTGATTGAACATTGGTATGAAAACTTCCACAAGTGGTACGAATTTGAATAGTGAGGTAGACGCCGAAATTGGGTTATAAATGGAACAAGACCAAGTGATAAGGTTTATCGGCAGAAAGGAAGAGTTCAAATTTTGCACCCACGAATACCAGAATCTTGTCCACAAAGACGAGAAGGTCGAATTTAAGCCAGGGAGGTCAAGCAAGGACACTGTGTTGGGTTCTATTAAGAACGTCGACAATGTGCACATTCAAATCTATTGAATAATAAATTCTAACGCAGCGGAATCTATAGTTAGGACTAAAACTTACGATTTAAATTTTTGCTGACCTGAGACGTTTTTTATTTTCGTTGATGGAGATCGTCTGAACACCAAAGTCCGATGGGCAGCCGGACTTAGCCTTTCTCGATCCTAATCGAGTCGTCGGGGTGATCTGGTTGCTTGTCGAGCTCATTGGATCATCTCAGACCTTCAGTAGGTGAGTTGCATTCCTTGGACCACACGAAAATGATCTTGGACTCGAACTGGGGCATTTGGACCGAGTTGGAACGATTTGAATAGCTACTGGACCATTTGGGCTGAGCTGAAGGGCGCTGGCTGTGATCTGGACTGGTCTGTTGCTTTCTAGGCCCGCTGGACTGCTTCTGGGGCGAGCTGGATAGCTGGGTCGCATGCATCTTCTTGCTGGGCCGAGGATCCTCGCTGTTGGGCTGCGCATCAAGCTTGCTGGGCTGGGAAGAAGCGTTGGGCCGCACTAAAGAACATCTGGGCTGCTTCTTTTGCTCGCGGGCTGGAGATGGGCCTTGGGGGCTTTGGCTGTGAGGCGCGCGGGCTGAAATGCAAGCCTCACAACCTGCACGTTTTTCCTCTCTCTCGGGCTCACATGCGGGCCGCGCGGGCTGAAGTGGCCCGCGTTCTTTTTATTTTTTTCTTTCTCTACCTGGGCTTGCACGCGTATTGGGCCATGCGATCTGTTGGGCCTGCCGCGCGAGTGGGCTGCGAATAATTTACTCTTACAAGGAACCGACAAATAATCTTTCTGTTTGAGACACCACGAACCATACTATCTCAATGTAAGACAAGAAGTACAATTGCATAAATAAATAAACTTCAAGCATATGTACTTTGACCGAAACATGATGGCCAAATCGAAATGGAATTACTAGAGTCTGCAAAACCAAGCTTTTACAGCATACCTCTAACTATCTCGCACTTATGCTTAATAAGCTCATGGCTATCGCTAACCACGATTCTCTTTCAATCTAATTCTCAAATAACCGTTGTCCTTTCTGCTTTACATCCGACTCCAATCCTTTAACATGGCCATCATCCACTTTTGCCAGAAAGTCATTTCTAAAAGGATTCACTTGGTTGTCTACCTATGTAACTAGGCGACAAACATCTACCATGTCGCAGTCCTTTGCAACGGGCATACACCGTAGGAATAACAAATTGTTATCACAAACAAATTGTGACGTGACTTGGTCCGACGAGGTTTCACATTTTTAGTTCAATGGTAAATCCAATCTCTACGTCACTCGCCATTTGGGAAGGGAGGTACCGAGTTTCTTATGGTGGAATCTGTCAACGTATTACCGCTTGACATTTCCTCCAATCTGCTTGGCTCCCACAAGTGAACACAAACCATAAGGTTGTTTTTACTTGTTGTTCATGTTTGATTAGAAATCATAATCATTTGTAACCCATACATTTCTTATGATTGGTTTGGTAACCCTACATATTATCATTATCCCTGTTACGACGCTTAATCATATGTTTTACCATGAACTGTTGCTTCCATCTAGGATTACTTCGATATTTACTAACTATACCCGTAACAATAAATATTAGGCCTTATTTATCGCATATACTAGGATTCCTATTGCCATGCATAAGGACTGCCTCTGTATCATGCAAAAATAGAATGAGCCTTATGACAGTATGTACAAGAAATCTGGGATAATCGCAACATATCTTTCTTGTGATCCTCAATCTCAAGAATATTTGTTGATTTCGAATCTTTCATATCCAACTACTTGGATAACCATACCCTTGCGTATGTCAACATTTTCACACAGTCTCCAGTGATAAAAATGTTATCTATGCATAGTACAAAAATACCACGACGCTTCCATTGCGCCACACAATGCTCATTTGGTGAATGATCAAATCCAGGATTTGAACTTATCAACCAAATGATCGGCCTATTACAGTCCATAAATGGACTGCATTAGCCTAATGACTAGACGCACTTAGCCCTTTTCCAATATGAACTTCTAGGTGCTTCTCCGTGGATATTCCTACAAGACTTCCGGTTAAGGAAAATGTCTTGACATCCACTTTGCCTAAATTCGGCTACCGGTGAAAAGGCAAACTCATAATAGATCCAATTCTTTATGAGTCTACAATTTTACAACAAGCCTTGCATT